CCAGGCTCCGAAAGCTAGACCACGTGTTGCGCTTGCCAGCACATCAACTCCCCGCATCGTGCATGGTTTGCGCACCCGTGGTCAAGATGGAAAAGGAGAAGGGGTGACCAAATCATGACTTGATCTAGGGAAATGAGGTCACTCACCTTGAACTTGTCGGTTGGTGTTTCCCGACTACCGGGCTGGGGATCGAAGACGATTAACGCGGTTGGATACACTAGTTGACATGGCTATGAGTCGATCTCAGCGGCGTTTGTGTTGTGATTCTCTTTGTCCCTTCTCTCCTTTTTAGCTCTCCCTGCAACAGCGATTTTTCGCCCAATACATAATGTAATTTTAGCATTACATTATTTTCTAGCTTTTTTAGTCTGTAATGTTCACTCTCCTATCAATTTTGTATTGCGGCACATCAGTTGTAGTGTGTTTTCACTCTCGGCTAACGTGTTTTGATGACGTTGATGCTGATGTTGCAACAAACTCCAACTTGAACCACTTTGGATGCAACGCTTGAAGCATAACCTGGTGCTGCTTTACAAACTGCTACACAAGATGACCTTTTCGGATCTGCCTACGTTGGAAGTTAAACACGGCTCATTTCGAGCGCTTCGCAGCAGCGAGTACATACTAGTTATGCCAAAGGCTAGAACAAGCATACAGCCCACTTTCTTCCTGGTCACATGTACCTATCTGTGGAACAAACTGCCAATCACACTTAGGTCATGTGACAATGTGGCAGCATTTAGCAACAAGCTCGCAAGTTAACCTGATTACGATAATGACCATTGGAAAATTCACTCGATGTACTGTACCTAGTAAAACCCGAAAATGTTTAGACGCATACGTTTCTAAACCTTGGCTGTCGCCTCAACCATCTACTAACGCGCTATTATGTGAATCTCATGCTTCCGTGGTTTCAGTGAGATTTGTGGACAGTCGGTTCGTTTATTTCACTGGCAACATTTTGCTTTTGACACAAAATCTTCGTCAAGCCAGGTAACTTTGTACATATTGTGTTATTAAATAGCGGGTGAGGACGCTAATCGTGGCAACTGTGATATGAGTCAAGAGACTCATACAGACAGGTGGAAATGTTGACTCAAGTAGTCAGTCAGAATGCGGCTATTGTCGCTGTTTCACTGTCCGTCTTTTTGTTGATGGTGATGATGATATCAAATTTTGTTATCCAACCTGACCCGCGTATCGACGCTCGTCAGACTGAGCGGGTTAAGACTGCTCTCTATACAGTCGAGAATTCCACCCCTCCATTCTATTCACACAGCTATCCGCATTAGCGATTTCGACTACGTCGGCAATTAACCTCCAGGGCTTCGCTCATAAACCCTTCCTAACGATCTCGACATTATCCAAATCGATCTGATGCCCGGTATGTAGCGCATTTACAGCTGACGGCAGTCTCTTAACAGAGCTCTTTATACAAGTTCCTTCTTCGACGGTCGCCAAATGCGTCTTATTTTCTAAGATCTGTGTCCGTAGCTCTCTCACGATGTTTGACCAATGTAAATGTGCGCATAGTCTTTGCAGTTGATTTTGTACACGCAGTTCTTCGTCCTATCTGTCGAAAGGGGGTCCTTTAGGCGCACCAGCATTAAAGGCAAGGTTTGGAAACACCCAAAGATCACCCATATACCCTCCTTGTCTAATACCCGACTTGCAGTCCATGGAACTTATCGATGCTCACCGGCATGTTCCGGCTGGAAGTGAGCACAATGAAACTCGCAAAGAGCTCCGGGCAAAACTCCGTGCTAGCCTGAAGAGAGACCGCGAATGCTGGTGGTCTCATCGTGCGTCAGAGATGGAAATGGCCGCTGCCCGTGGTAATCGTCATAAGTCATTCCGGCCACTACGAGAAACGGGCAGCAGAAGACCTGGGGTTATTGGAAGTAAACGTGACGAGAGTAAATAGCCCATCCACAACTCGTCAAAACGCTTGATGCGTCGGGCTGAGCACTTTGAATAGCAATTTAATCGGTCGGGATTGTCAAATTTTTCGCCGGCCATTGAACACCCCGCTTCCTGGGCTGTCACTTTGGATCCGCCCTCTCGCTCAGAAGTCGAACTTGACATCGAACTGTTGAAGTTAAATAAAGCCGCGGGACCTGATAATCTTCCTCCAGCCCTCTTCAAGTTCGGGGGACCTGCTCTTGTGGATGATTTACACGAGTTACTAGTGAAACTGTGGGAGCAGGAACCTGTCCCAACCGACTGAAGCTGCTCCGTCATAGTCCCAATTTTCAAAGGAGTCTCACTATCCGAATGCGGCAGCCATAGAGGAATCAGTCTGCTCTCCATCGCCTCCAAAAAACTCGCCTCTGTCATCCTTCACAGATTGATTGGCACTTGTGAAAGCCATATTCGTGAAGAGCAAGCCGGGTTTCGTCGAGGTCGTAGCTGCATTGACCACATCTTCACTTTGCGTCAGTTGTTGGGGCACCGTCACACATATTGGCGGCCCACCGTTGTCGTGTTCCTCAATATCAATGGTGCATTCGATTCGGTCGATAGACTTGCACTTTGGTACTGTCTACCCAGAAAAAGTGTACCTGAGAAATATGTAAATATTATCGGATCATTATACACGCGTAGCTCAGGTAGAGTGAGGGCTAACGGCAAGTTGTCGTCGCCCTTTAATATCTCCAGCGGTGTGAGACAAGAATACCCGCTGTCACCTTTTCTTTTCAACTGCGCTGTTGATGAAGTCATGGAAATCGCGTTCACAGGACACGACTTGGAAGGTGTGGAGCTACTCCCAGGAGAACGACTTCTTGATTTAGAGTATGCTGATGATATTGCCCTCATCTGTGACAGCTCACAAACGTGCCAAGCGGCACTGGACAGATTAGCACTGGCTGTCAGTCGCTTCGGGCTTTACTTTGCACCATCGAAGTGCAAAGCGTTCCTCCAAGATTGGCCTGGACCATTTCCTTCGTTGACCCTTGGTGGGGATCAGCTAGAAGTCGTTCAAAAGTTCAACTACCTGGGAAGTTGTATCAGCGTTCGTGGGATTGAAGATGAGATCACGAACCGTATAGCAAAAGCTCGAGGCGCTTTTTGCTAACCTTCGCCACTTATGGTGGCGATGCGACATCACTTTTGCCCTGTAGGGTAGAGTGTACAATGCAGCGGTACGTTCGACCCTACTGTACGGTTGTGAAATCTGGCCGCTTAAAGCAGCGGACCTGAAGAGGCTAGTTACGTTCGACCACCGTTGTCTTTACAATTTAGCTCACATTTGGTGGGAACACCGTATGAGCAACGAGCGTGTTCGACGCCTTGTTTACGGCACAGGAAAAGAAAATGAAGTGCTCAGCACCGTTATTTCACGCACCAGGTTCCGATGGCTCGGCCATGTGTTACGCATGCCAGCTCACCGACTCACGCGACCTGCATTGTTTGCACACCGGGGGTGTGGATGGAAGAAGAGGAGAGGTGGCAAATCGATGACTTGGTCAAGAGGAATGAAGGCCCTCATTTCGAAACTGGCCTCGGTTAAAGCGTCTCAGCTCCCTGGTTGAGGTCCGAAAGGCGATGAACACGTATGACTGGATGCACTTGCTGACATGGCAAGGAGCCGACCTCATTGGCGTTCGTGCTGGGAGTTTCTTTGTCCCACTTCATCCCTCTTAGCCTCCCCCTCCAACCACGATCTCATTATTTAACATTTTATAATTTTGCATAGGAAATTACTTTTTGCTGCCCATCCGTTACCGGTAGCTCAAGTGGCTTGCGCCTGTAGTATTTTATTGCCTTCTTTTATGGATTGCGGCACAGTAGCTCAAGTGTTTCCCACCTCTATCTAACGTGTATATTGTGTGTGCTTCCGAGGTTCCTTCTTTGTAATGGATTTCCACCGTTCCTACCCACTGCTTTGTAGACCTTTCCTGTGGGTTTAGTACATTTTGTAACTGACGTTTCAATAGACGTCGCGGATTACCATTGTCTAGTAGTTTGCTTATCTACTCTTTCCGTTCAGACCCATCTTCTTCCGTTGTGCACAGGGTCTATGCTTAGTGGAACTGCGATGAGACTATTCCCGTGCTTTGGATGACTTGAAATATAATGGAATATCCGTAACTATCTGTTGGCTTACTGTAGATTGTTGTTTTCAGATTTCTTCCATTTCTATGTACTAGACAGTCAAGGAATGGTATTGTACCACTGTACGACTCCAAGTGTACAGTGAAGTTTATTCTCTCGTCAATGGAGTTTAGATGGTTTTGGAAGTTCTCCTTTTTAACCCTTTTTTCTTATCATCACGAAAGTGTTGTCTACGTAGCGCCACCAAACATTCAGTCAGCCACCGGATTTTACTAGGGCTTTCTTCTCGAAGTCCTCCATATACAAGTTCGCCAATACTGGGGCTAATGGCGACCCCATGGTCAGACCTTGTTCTTTGGTGTACAGATTCGACTGGACAACGAAACAGGACATGCGAATTCACAATGCCATACCCTGCACGATTTGATCAACTGTAAGCTTTGTTCTCTCAATCAGAGTATGGTCCTCATTTAGACAGGTTCTTGTTAACTAGCGCAGCCTATGCCGTCGACTATAGGTCTCATGGGAACGTCAGGCTTATGTATCTTGGGTAGCCCATAAAGCCTAGGAGACAGAGTCAATTTCGGATAGTGACTATGCCATTTACTTACCCATAAACCGTCCTTTGGGACTTTCGAATAGTTGCCAATTTCCGTTTTATTCTTATTCATCACCGTCATCACGGCTTTATTCCCAAGTGGACTTATACTGTCCCATCTCCAAATGTCTCATTTTTCCCAAATAATCCGACTTATTCATCACCAACCTTGTTTTTTAATCCCTATTACACATGCGAGTGGATATTAACTGTTGTGCATATTGATGTGTGCCGCAACAGACAGTTTTTCGGAACATGAAAAATATGCCTATTATTATTCTTACTATTATTAATGGCTTGAAGCTTTTGCCATAAAGCGCTTTCCCCCTCTTTTATTAACTCCAAGGTCTGGAAACACGAAGCGATCGCTGATCGCATATGTCAACTGCTTTGCGGAGCTACGAACATGCATTTTTCTTTTGAAGTGTACCCCACGCTTCTGTGAACCCGGCACCCTGTTTCCCCGGTCACATTTGACTGGGTTACCTGAGATCGGTGTAGAGCCCTTGGTTTGTTATAAAGAAGCTTTCATGCAAATCGGCCCTGAAATCTCAGTCAAAAGCACTGACGCCATCAACAGCGAAGACGTCATAGACGAAGAGGTACTCTTCTTCCAAAGCATTCAAACTCGGTTCGATCTCATCAAGCAAGAGCACTTCTACGGTCGGTGCCTTGCGTTCTATTTCTGCCCAAGCGCACAACGAATTCTGCTCCTACTCGGTTCACTCATGGCTGGATATGGACAGTCATTTTTGGTTAGTTCCCTTTTTCGTCGTTTCTGCACCAATTTAACGCATCAGATTTTCACCTTTGTGTCTTAGTTTTAAGCAGCTTGCATTGAAACGCCTATCTCAAACGCATCTTGTGCCTTTTAGTTAGACTTTCTTATCGCAGTTGTGTCTTGTCTGTCAAGCCAGACTTGTAGGCTTGCTCGTTCCCATTGCTTATACCATAGCATTCCTTGGCTGTTGCTTTGCGTGTCACTCTCGTATCGGTGCACATTAAGCGTTTATTTCAACACTACTTAATCCCTACTCGGATTGCCAGATGGTGTACTGCCTTTCCGCACAATCTGTGGAATGCTCGTTCACGCAGATCCTTTGCGTAGTACTCCCGACCGTGATTAATACTCATTCCCGTTTGTTATGCCTTTGTCTGTTCTCACGCGCAACTCAACAGCTCGCTTTACCCAAGCAAATTGTTTTCAGTATTTGGGCAACCGCTTCTTTTGCGCAACTTTTTCTAGCCCTACTTTTTTAAAACATTGTTCAAGTTCAGTTTTTAAGTCGTATCACATGTTCCACGCATCATAAAAAGTTTCGGAATACCGGTAGCTCGAGTTGTTCATTTGTTCTTGGGTTTTGGCAAATTGGTTGCATACGTTTGGCCACTATCAGTGGTGGCATCATCACTGCGGTGTTATGCAGTGTGCATAATTGCACACGAAACGTACGCTACCAAATTCCCAACCTTGACGAACAAGGAAACAACTGAATCCACGCACCATGTTTTGTTTAACTTTGTCGAGCATTTCTTCAGTTCGGTTGCACAACTATGTACCCTGTATTGAAGTTTGATGGATCCTCGTTATTGAATCTTGGAGTGCCTGCCATGTGTCTTAGATTGTGATATGCAATCTCCATTGAGTCCACATTCTGCTTTGAAACATACCTATGCCTCTTCGATCATTGGGACCGCATCCGAAGTGGAACGTTTCGGAGCTGCTCTCTCCCAACACTGCACTCCACGACCGACCGGTTTCGTCCTGATTTGAACTTGTCAGGTAGAGATAGCTTGAGCTGAACGAGAAACCCGACACATGTTTGCCTGAAGGCAAACTGTAATCTTCATGGAGATTGCGTGTCGCAGTCCAGGCACCCGGCCGTTACTCCGAAACCCATCGTAATCCTTCAGCTGGACGCTGAATTACTAGGAGTATTTAGCCCCTGTTTGGCAGCTCGCCGAACGAAAGGCATATGAACCGAGAGATCGGTCACCTGATCCCAACAGACACGATTCCCTGAATTCGCATCTCTGCCTTGCGGGTCAGGTCCCTATAAACGAAGGCTCCGAGTGGGGTCCCCTAAGTCAACTTCCTTCCCCGACCTGGGCAACTGGGAAGCTATATGCCCACACAACAATGAAGTGATGGCATTACAACTCTGCTCACGACTCTGTTTTGGAATTGGCGGTTTGACGGATGAGATATCCCTCCATGTCTCCAAGGCTAGAATCGCTTTCGCTAACCTTCCTAACCTGTGGCTTCGTCGTGACCTCAGCCTTGCTCTCAAGGGAGGAGTCTACTATGCGATTCTGCTGTATGGCTGTGAGACTTCGCCCGTTTGCAAAAGCGATGTTCAGCAATGAGGGAGTCCGTCAGTGAGTCTTCAAATCTGATAAACTCCGCCGACCGATTGACTGCATTATTTCACTGCGGCGGCTTCGCTGGCTTGGGCATGTGCTCCGCATGCCCACCCAGTGGTTACCACCAGGTGCCCTATTTGCGAGCGCAAGCGTGGGGTTCAAGCGACACGATGCGGGCCAGTGTAAAACTTGGATCCAATGCGTTAACGCGCAAACGTTTAAGTTGGCTGTTGCTGTGCCTTCCCGAGTTGGGGACCAAAGGACGCCGAGCACATCTGGTTTCAAACGCTACTGGGTATGGCCAAGGACCGTACGCAATGACGCACTTGTTATGTGACTCTTCTACTCTGTCGTTTTCTCTTTCCCTCTATTTTTTCTCATGTGTTGTGAGACTCAGCCAATTGTCATGTTGTTGGTAAGAGGTTGAATGTTGCATTCTTGATGCTTCTTCACCGCAGTTGGGCTAAACCAACTTACATTTAAACTAGGTCTTTTTAAGATGGATACATTTCTCTCCACTTTATTTGGTTTGTTCTGCCTACCCGAATAGCGTTCTATTAACTGGCCACGTTGCTTACGCTAATTGCGCTTATCTTCGGTAATTTTCTTGCGTTTGTAGCATTTTTAACTAACCTGTGGACATTTCTTACTTATCGCGGATTCGTTGCTAACCAACTTACTTCATATGGTAGTTTAGGGAAGAGTTATGCCACCGTATCTGTATGCATTATTGGATTTATTTTATTTCAGCTTGTCGTTTAAAGTGAATGGCTGTTGCTTGATATCCAGATATATCTGGTTGGCGGCATCCGGTTTCGGATTTGCCTGTCACTGTGGCCAGCCACAGGACGCCTGCGCCTACGAAGGGACCATGGATGGCTTGCGCTGCACCACCCACAGCTCCACCCACACACCCAATATCCAGTGTAAACCCGAAGGAATAAGACCGGGAGGCATGAGGATGGGAGCCACGTTTCATCAACGGAAGCGACCCACGCTCCTTCAGACGCAAACACAAGCACGCTGTATTTGGGGAATCAAGCGCACACAAGGCGGTGGCTGGACCGTAGTCCGCTCCACACAGGGTGCATAGAACCACTCTTCGAGCCTAGCACGGCCACAAGGACCGTGCACCCCGTCCCCTCCAGCAACGACCAACTGTCTCCTGGAGCCAGTATGGACGAGGTAGTGGGTAATAGACAGGTAGGCACCTTGTCAACATGCACATCAAGCGCAGCCACACCGGGGATGTCAAACAACAGCCAATCATTCGAAATGCCGATATCGAATAAAGTAAACGCATATGATGACATAAATACTCGCTAAATAAGCATATAGTCGGCCGGTGGCCGAGTGGTCTGCACGTTTGCTTTGCAACCATAAGGTCACCGGTTCGAATCCGCGTAGGAGTGGGCGTCCTCGCGGTATACTCAGCCCGCGCGCGACTAGTGGTGGTCGCGCGGCAGCGAAGCGCCGTTACGGCGTACAGCTGACACACTAAATAAGCATATAGAAGAAACTGGTTATAAGTGAATCCGTGATAAGTACAAAATGTCCGAGTTATTTAAGAAAATACCATGCGATAAAATTACGCAAGTTTACCAAATTTGCGTGACGACGTGTGTAAGTAAGGAGAAGATTCTCAAGTACGCAGAACAAACCAAATAAAGTGGAATGAATTTTATCCACATTAAAAAGACCTAGTTTAAGTGTTGGTTGGTTTAGCCCAACTGCAGTGAAGAAGCATCATGAATGCAATATCAGCCTCAGCTGATGGTTTGCTAACCATATATATATATATATATATATATATATATATATATATATATATACTACATGCATCGGTGATCAAAGACGGCTAATCATATAATGTCTTCGGCGCGAACTGGCAAGTTTCTGCATCTATACACTTACACCAGCCTCGTTGCAGCGCTATGCACTCTACCTTTCGCTGACAAGCGGATGTCCCGCCATCTCTACACATGTTTGAGTCTCTGGAAACCCATACGGGCCTTGTTGGTACTTGCAGTAACTGTACCGGTGATGTAACTACCAGAAGTGAAGCATTTTTGCTCCATATCCATACGCATCCTGGTACGTTGGCGGCGTTTTCATTTCGATTTAACTGACCTTTACCCGATGTAGTGATATGATGGTGATTTTTCTTTTGGACTATACAGGATGGCGCTCTATCGCTCCTAGAGGCGCTCTACCTTTTCCAGCTATTGTGGCTTCAGTTCCGTTCCGTCCACTTTGCTGTCTCAGTTATGCTTCGTGCACGATAGCCAGTTGTTTTATGATGGCATGTTGTTGACAAGATATAGGCGCCTTGACCATGAATGCTTGCTTAGGGCATTCTGATTTTCCGATATGTCCCCCCTTCTCTTCCTGTTATTATTTTTCGTTCCGTAGGTCGTTCTGGTCGTATGACAGCGACGCATCAGTCCAAATGGCTGATGTACTGCTGTTGTTGTTGTCCTTGATGATGATGACGATACTGATAAACTTAGTTGCCTTGACACTCACATCACCAGCATAATACGTATGGTATTATTAATATTGGAGACAATTCAAGAAGAAATAGCAGCAGTTTTACTTGTCGGGTGGAATAATAAGGGAATGAGTGTGAAATCGCTACTGACCACATGACCGCCCTGTGCGCCACATGGGGTCCAACCACTAATGTGACCTACCCGGAGAAACTCGTCCGTGAAACGGGCAAATATCACCAACCTGACTCATCTTTTCGATGCCTTCATTCTCTATTGCTACATCACTGACTGGCCATATTGGGGCTTCATCTACGTGGTACCAGTACTGACGGACAACACCTGCCATGGTAGTCTGTTTGTAGGCATGCGAAACACGTGACACCCAGCGGAAGTGATTTGTGTTCGACAGATTTTCCACCAAAACCCTAGAAGGTGCTTTCGCCGGGCACCACATGACGAACATCACTTCGCAAGTATTAATGATCCAAGGCAGTCAGTTTCTTGATGTACTCAACGTCCAGCAGCCAGATCTGTGTTTCATACAACAGCACTTGTTGCGCCGCAGCGTATAAACTTCCTTCGTTAACCTCCATAAGTGACTGAAGCTTTGAAAAATCACATGAACCATGGCAATGCATTCAGTAACCACTTTGATGGGATAGTTTAGCCCACCGACCACTTTGAACGATCGGCCGGTCTTGGTGAAGCTGGAGGTGTGTGGACCCAATCCTTTACCAGCGGTTTCTGTGATTAGCCGAGGCAAGTACTTCAGATCGAACAATACTTCTGCACTAACCTGCGCTATCTACGCGAGATTGTGCTGTGGTCATACGGAGTCTAGGGTAGCCTGTCACTCGTTGGCCGCCACTTAACTCGATATATAAATGCTTGTGCTGATA